GAGCGACAGTTGTAACCGGTTGACGTGTTTACTGTTAACAATGTACAATGTAGTTTGCCAACAATTATTAAAACGATGGTGTGTACCAACAGAAATACAACTATTATACACGTATACACACACACACAGACGCTTGCTGACCCGAGCAACGGTGGTGGTATTGATTTCTGTTCCAAGTTTCCGTTTTCATCGGAGCAACGTAAAACACGTGTTAAACACGTTAAACACGCGCTAGTATTATTATTGTATATGTTCACGAATAATTACCCTGGTGCGCATCCCTCTGTCGACGGGCTTTTAGCGTACGTGTTTTCATTATAGTCGCGTGTACGTACAACTCGTCGGCGATGATTTGCGATCGCTGTCGTACGGTCCGTGAAGTCCGAACAATGAGTACGTAGTACACCACGACGACTACAGTGGATGCAGCGGGCACACATTGCAAATGTGCAGTTAACAGCCGAAACTCGGCTATAGCCGTCGGCGCCGACGTAAACGCGTATACATATACGTGCGACATAATACGTTGCAGAAGCAACAAACAGCAATATAATGAACATGTAGGTACATGTATGAATACGGACAAAGGCGGGCGAGGGCGCGAACGACACGGGTACGCGAAATAATAGAGACACACAATCGAACCCTTTACATATTATATAGCTGTCCCCCCGCGCACAGTTCATTAAACCGGTAACAACCGTTCACGGTATATGGTATATGTATGTATGTATAATGATAAATAGGTGTATGCACGCGAATCGTAGTGGTCGGTCGCGTATACGCGCGGGACGAGAGTTGACCCGGTCCGCCTGCGCAGTCGGTTTGGGCAAACAGGAGCCGGTGCCCTTCCCGTGATGATGACGGCAATAATATACAGTACACCGTTATGGTGTTGCAGGCCGACTTGCAGCGGCGTGAACTACCCTATTCGTATTTATTGTTTTGCCCACCGGCCCACGCACAGGGATTTACCGCGGTACGGGTGACAATATAATACGCGTACATGATGTACACACTGCACGCGCATGAGCTTGTGTAGCCGATGACAGAAGGCTAAATACTTATTTAACACATGTTAATGTTATTATTATTCTTTCAATTTTTTTTTTCATTTTCACCCTCCTCCGTATACCCCCGTACGCGGATTTTGCCGTAACTCACTTGCCCGCCACCACCGCCCTTTGGGGCGACCTTTTGCGCGCAACTGAGCAAACAGAAAAAGTCGCTGTTGCCGCCGACGACGGAATGACGTGCCGCGTACAAATATATACACAGAGATTATGGCGCCAGATTCGCGCGTTTACAATAAATCAACGCAATATTGTCCCTTCATTATTAGAAGCGGTGTGCGAAGATCAGTGTGTTAATGTGTGTATGTGATGTGTGTGTGTGTGTGTGTTTGTGTGTGTTTCTGTGTTTGTGTCTGTGTCTGTGTGTCTGTTTTTAGAGGATTCGGGTTTTTTTTTACGATCGACTTTATTTTTATTACACAATGTCGATGAAACGCGATTTTTTTTTATACGTCATAATTTATACAACTTAACATGACTGTACATACAAGCGAAGAATAAATAATAAATATTACGTAAAAGTTTGATTAAATGCATTAAATTTGCACATTTCTCTTCGTATCGAAATTTCAAAAATAAATATCCAAGATGAATGCAATTTTTACTTATTGTAGCGTACATCGCAACGATTTTATGTTATTATAAATATTGTTATTATTTATCACATATTGATTATAAACTTCAGATAGTTCTGAAGTGTAAAATTGGTTACAATATAATTGACAAACAGATCGCCATACTTTAATAGAATATTTATAAATTGCGATCGAGTACCGGAAGTAAAAACTGAATTCGTGCGTGAACTTTGATTTCGATTTGATTTAATAATATAAATGGTTTTCTTTCCGCTGTTTATTGCATACAGCTAGTTGTGTTCTTGGTTTTATCATCACTTGTACGTCGGGTTAACAGCATAAAAACTTATGACAGATTAAAAATAAAAACGATAACAATAATAATAATAATAATACACTTCGGAGTAGTGTAGTTGTCATAAATTATTAGGGGATGGGGGGACGAAACGACCATTTATGCATTATATGAATTAAGTTGCCGGTGTTTATGAAATAAACGAACCCCTGCGGTGCATAATATATCGGTGACAGTTTAGTTGAACATGCCGGGCTACTGAGACCATTATAAGTGTTAAAAATGAACAATGATCCCTGTGTACGCGCGCTGTTTCATAAAAATGAATGCAACATAAATATTCTATGATTAATATTCACTTAACCGGAATCCAACAACTAACTACAATAATATATATTCCGTTCCGCGCGGCAATTATATTTATATTCTGAAAGGAATTTTCGAGCTACAGTATCATTTCGTATAAATCACATTCGTATTCACAAATATATTAAACATACATTAAACATAATAGCCGATGAATTGTCCGAATTGGACTTGAGCAGCAGCAGCAGTATAAATTGTATTATGATTTATTGAGATGAATATTACTAACATCGTTGCGAGAAAAAACCTGCGGTTACTTGGATGTCAACGTAAATTTGTTGATGTTTGAAAAACTACAAAGAAATACTCCGTAAGTCTAATTTTGGATTTAGACTAGAAAAAAAAACAAAAAACGACATGACATACACTGGACGGGACTTGTGGCGCATGTCATTTGCACGTAATACAACGGGTGCGTAAAATGATTTTCCACCCGACCCGGTTAGCGAGTCACAGCGATAAGAAGCAACGTCGGTTGGTCGTGATCAGTGGCGCAACTAGTGGTGGGGTTTGGGGGTTGTAACCCCTCTCCCCCAAAATTTTTCTAAGGTTTTTACAAATTCTACGTAGAAAAAAAAATTGTTTATCTTGAACACGCGAAACGGATGATTGCTATGAAATATGAATATTATTCGTATTATAATCGATAACAATAATAACATGACAATACGGAACGTTTTGTAATGTTCCATTCAACTTTAAAACCTTGTCAATAACCTTGCTACTACGATTTCTCGATAGTCGAATGTATAATACTTATTTTTGTGGTATCACAATATTAAATAGAAGTTAAACAGTTTAATTTGTAACTTAAATATATTACTCATAAACCTAACTCAATCTTACTCCTTACTCCCCACCAAACACCTGCAGAAAATGCTTATTTTTTCCAAATTCACCCCCCCCCCCGGAAAATCAATCCTAGTTCCGCCACCTGGGCGTGATGCCCGGGACCGTGCACAGGATTCACACGGCGGACGCGATGTTTCATTGTCCCTTCGCGGCGACAACAGAGTCAACAGCATAAAACGTAAAACAGCTGTACCACACCGCGTTCACTCGTATCTGATCGCGAAAACAACGCGAGACCGACAACGGATCATCGGTGAGCAGGACGAACCGGACACGGTGTGCCTTCGGTCCCGGACAAATTAGGGCGATGCCGTGCCGGTCACGTGTCGTCAAGTGCCGAAGTGTGCCGTCAGCCCAGGGGGAGGGGGTGACGCGCGCACAAAGAGTATCCTATTTCGCGGACATTTAACACGGATCCGTCGATCCGATGTGTACGGCGCAAGTAGTCGACAACGACGCGGCTACGTGCCCCGGGTGGCGAATCGAAAGATACGATTATTGTAATGTCATAGGCGCACGCGTCCGACAAACTTGTTTTCCTTTTGACCGGACAACAACAACGACGACGGCGTCGACCGGGTTCAGATTACGTGATTCGATACACTTATGTAGAGAGCGATCTATACGGTCGCTATTCTTATTATTATTATTATTATTATTGATATTATTATTGATATTTGCCACGGCCGAGGATAATGGCCATTATTATGTGTATCGTCGTGCAAGTGTGGGAAAATTGTACGTCTGACGTTGCCGCGGTACGCACGGGAGCCTCTCGTGTTGTTCGTTTCCGAAGGGGATGAATATCCTTCGAGGAAATTCGATCGACCTCGACCTATCCATCGACTGCAGCAAATGTATTCAACAAATAATAATAATAAATAAAACGACAATGTACATAATTTTTCCAGTTCGGGAAAAATATTTCAAGTAATAAACCTATACACGATAACTCACGTCATCCTTCTGTATTGTACACGAAATATACAAATGTTACTTCGAATAATTAGAAATTACTATTTTAATAATTAAATGTCGTCCTATTCAACTCGATTCCGCGAAGGAAAAATAAAATACAAGTGTAATCGGAGTGACATTCAGATTAGTCACTAATTTAATCAAATAATTTTACGACGACGTCAAGATATAATTTTCTAAGGCCATACTTTTAAACGTTTAAATTAATACAATAACAGATACATCATAAATTAAACACAAATTACAAATATGCGATAATTTAACTGCATCAGTGCAACGTATAATAATTATTATTACTTATTAGTTTATTAAAATCAATTTGAATGTATTATGAACAATTATGAGTTATTATACGAAAATTATTTAGATAATAAAAAGTTTAAATGTTTAAAATGAATAATCCAGCTTATTAATTATATGATAAACTTAATTATCCATTTGATTAAAGTCATAATTGTTTTAATATTTAATGATATCATTTGATTATTGTACAGAGCGTGCTTTGATGATCTATCAAAGATAAACTAATTTTTAAAATGTTAATTATATATATCTTTGGAAATTTGAAAAAGAAACACACAAATAGCGTTTTTGAATTTATTATTTTACTAAAGACTATAAACAGGAGAACTTAAAAGTATTTACTTTTTATAATGGTTTATTGTCGGTAAAGCATTTTAATAGTATAGTAGCATTTCTGTTATAGGTCTAGTCTACACAGTTTTCGAACAAAGAGAATTGCATACTATCATTTAGATTTCGCTTTTACTTGTGTGCACTCGAGATTTTCTCTCGTCAATAATATTTATCATACGGTAAATTTAATGTATATGTATATACATAATAATGAATGAAACCTACTTGAACTCTGGCCTCAGTAAGCTCTATATGTTTAGCGATCTCCTCTCTGGTGTATATATCTGGATAATGTGTTTCTTGAAAAGCTCTTTCCAATTCCTTCAACTGTGCTGAAGTAAAAGTTGTCCGTATTCTCCTTTGTTTCCTTTTCTCCGTTAGAATACTGTCATGAGTTGTATACGGAAGACTTTTATATGCCGCTAATCCACCTGTAACATTTGAAATAATTCGTTAACATAATTTATATTTTATGTCGAAATGTTCAAAACACTATAGACGATAGAGATAGTCTAAATCTCATTTGAAAGAATAATTATTTATGCCAATTTTATCGACAAACAATTTATCATATGTACTGTTACAACACGAGATTGTACAAAATACATATCACGTGAGTAAGTTCCATAGGCGAGCGCAGATCTATATTTCAGGAACTACCTACAGTACTTTTGGGCCCTATCCTAACAAAACGTAAAGATATATTTAATAAATCATAATGTATTAGGCATGGAAAAAACACCAGGGAAAGTGTCCCTCCAAATTCCCCAGGAAAGAATTTTTTTCCTACGTGGCAACAAAAAAACTATTCAATTATTTTTTACAAATCATTTAAGAATCTTAAACTTTTCATCTACTAATAGAACAATATGAACATTTTAAATCGTTCAAAATCATTTTTTCTACATACGCCGATAATTTTGTTGTATTATGTATGAATCGATAATATTATACAGTGTAATCTAATAAAAATTATTGAAACATTATCTTTGTTACTACAGGAAATCGTTGACCGTCGAGCGTTACACGTCGTCTCGGTTATTTTCGTAAAATAAAAAAATCTTTTTTCAGTTAACCCTGAGTTTAAAAGTATAAATTCTGCTAATAAGACATAAAATCATTTAAATCAAAATTACTATCCAATAATTACATAATTTCTTAACATTTTAATTGCATTGCCAATTTTCATCACAATAAAAGAATGAAGTTTTTCCTCTTTGTGGCTTCTTAAGACTTGGTTAAGCGCAAGAATGCGAGAAGACAAATTAAAAGGATTGGCGCTTATGTAGTATCTATAGGATATAAATTGTAAATAAAATATACTAATTCATTTTTAATGCAGTTATATCATGTTATTTTATTCTTTTAATAGTTATAAAATTTAACTTTGTTCCTAAAGCTACAACTTACTATTCTTACATCGAATATTTATTTGTATATATATATATATATATGATTATGTCCCCCCACCGTGAAAAATTGAGTACGTTCTTATAATGTCTAAATATTTCAATAAACATAACTTTAATTTTTTAATTTAATATTGTGATATATTAGTCCCAATGAATATGTTTTCCTGGAATCTTGTATATTTTTCTCGGATAGCTTTAATTATGTATGATTTGTACTTTTGCAGTCAATTTTAGCTGTTATGTAGTATTATCATAAGACGTTTTTTCATGAAATTTCAGAATATTTAGTTTTATTTTTCTATTACGAAAAAAACAGCACCAGTTAAAATATGGACCCTTTACTCTTAGACTTAAGGGTCCAATTTAAAAAATTTCGAGGAATGCCTAGATCCACCCAGCACCTCATGTGTGCACGCCTATGTCTATCCCTTGTGAAACCTTAGTTGAAGGCTTTTTTTTCTTGTTGTTGTTAGAACATTTACCTAAAAAAAAATTATTTAAAGTTACTTTTTTATTTATCAGCAATAATAGGTACAGATTTTGAACAAGAAAGAATACTAAAGCCTCCATAAAACTAACTTTTATAAGTTTACGTATACATTTCGTACAGTTTTTTTTTTACATAGGTATGCCGTAGGCAATTCGAATGTAAACGGTTACGTGATGAGTGCACATTTACCGGAGTGATAAAAATCGATCGGGCGATCGAAATGTTTCAGTAAAACGAAAATTTGTTTTGATATTAACAATAAAAAACGATTGCAATACATATATTTTTTTTTTTTATCTCGAACGCACGCTACTTTCTTCCCTCGTCTCCGCGCGCTGACTGCGGTGGTGGTGTAGGTGGTGCGTTTTGCGGGATACCGCCGCGCATCTCTCCTGATAATTTATCGTCGAACCGCGGCGAGCGACGCCTACGTACACGCACGCCAGCGAGACGCGCGTGTAAAAAGTATCGCAAAAAAAAAAAAAAAAAAAAAACAAGAGAAATCGAACAAGTTGTACTTTTATGGACACGCAGCGTACCATGGCGCGTACACGCGCACACGTAACATGTGTAAATCTGGTTACGTATTTTTGAGGAAAGCGGAACGGAAAAAAATCACGTATACGGCATATCCGGTAGAAAGGATAAGAAAGGAAAAGGTTGTTCGTTTTCCGTGTGCCGTCCGACGACGATCGGTAAAAAACGTTCGTAGAATGGATGGGAAAAAACGGGCGTATAAACACGGCGACGTGCGTGCAATATAATGACTGCCAGTACACAATAATATATAATATACAAATAGATGTGCGTGACGCGCGAGGGGGAGGGAATTGCGAGTTGGTGGTAACCGCGCGCGCGATGCAATGGGAGGAAGTTTTGCGGCCCGCGGCGAGGGTAATAGGAGCGGAAAGGGGAGGCGTGAGCTTTTGTAAAAACCGTCGTTTTCCAAACCGTACACGCCGCCGCCGCCGCCATTTTTGCTCCGGTCTTCTCACCGAGTCCATATTGATCGGAATCTCTCCGGGCGGCCGTGGCTGCTGCGTGTATACCGATGCTCGTCCCTTGCTCACACGTATATGTGTAACGTGTGTACGCCTGTACGTGTGTTTGTGCGATAGCTTTCTGCTGGTGCGCACCACCCCATTCCACTTTTCCATCACGTCCCGTCGTATCCTTGTGAAATATTTTAACGACCCCGATCTCCGCTACCCCTGCACCACTCGCTTTTGTGCTTATTACTATATATTATTATAAACGTGTATATGTATGTATATGTGTGTGTGTGTGTGTGTGTGTTTAATATACGTATACAATACGTATAAATACTACGACGACGTACATTGTTGTTGTCGCTGGTTTTTAATCCCATTAACCGAGAGATGCGCTTTCGTTCGGAGGGGGAGTGTTTTTCTTTAATAGACGCATCGCCATTTTTTACGATCGTTCCTTATGTATACAGCGCTGTACTACAACCCCCTCTTCCCATACCGCGCTCGTGACTACCTTTAGGCTGTCGTGCCGAGTGAAAAAAATAAAAAACGTGAAAACCCGGTCTAAGTGGTGCGAGTAAGGCGAGAGAGCGATGAGAACACTACGGTTAATAATTTCGGAAAGGGGGTCAGAAAATTTTCCCTGTTTTCCGTGAGTGTACTAGACCCAATTATATTTATGCGCCTGCTGCAGTGACGCGACACCTGATTTCTTAATTCCTTTACGCAAAACATTACATGCACAGATCATCGAGCCTCAGCAGTAAAATAGCTACTAGAGGAGGGGAGAACCTAATACGGATCATCAGTTCACGGGAGTATTTAAATAGTAAACTTTTATTTTTTAAATCTAATTCTCGCGGTTTAAGAAAAAAATTGTTGCAACTGTCCCTTGCTGTGCGCCGTTTTCGCGTGATCGTAACACACAAACATACACGCGTGTGTCTCACGTCATACTACATCGAATATACTGCTGTATAATGTTTGCGATTGAAATAATCATTTACACAGTACACGATCCAAAAGCATTTTTAAAATCAACCCCGTATATCCTTAAAATATTTCACCACTTTATTTCATTATATAAACTGCAACGATAGGGTTTTCGATTTAAACTGCAAAATTATTTTGTTATACTCCACGTGGAGAAATAGTATTCATCATACTCATGATTTCCATGTGCACGAAAGCGTTAAATTTATTTTGAAAACGAATTTTCATTTTGCAATAGAAAATAATAATATATCATTATTTAATTTTTATGGTAAGCCTAAGCAATATTTCATATCGACAAAAACAACAAAGTAAAATAAACTAAATATTTGTTTTAATAAAAAATTATACAAAAACTCTTCGCTTTAACTTGTACGAAATACATTTTATAGTTTAATGTTTTTTAAGTAATATTAAATGTTGACTATTTTAGGGTGTGATAATTTTTTTTTCTATAATGTATACAATCTGTTTGTATCAATGGTATTATATTATAATAATCTATTATAAATCTTACTTTTATTTAGATACCCTAACCTAACCTAACCATTGATTGTCCAGTTGTATATTATCTATTACATTGTACATCAAAATTAAAAATGTATGCATTATTATTAAATTAAAAATTTGTATTTAGATTGTTTATTCTTTTAAAATGTAAATATTAAATAGTAAATAGTGGGTAATAACAGCAGTTAGTCATAAATTTATATTTCAGCTAGTTTAAGATTATATAAATATTATACTAGTTTATACAAGAATTTAGAAAATTAAGGGAAAATGTACATTGTTTTTGGGAAAACGTAACACAACATCAATATTTGCATTCCAATAAACTATCAGGAAAGCGATTTTCAGAGTAAAAAGAATAGTCATATATAGACCATGAGGAAATAGAAAGTAGTGTACGACGTCCTTTTTTTTAAATAACGTCTACTTACTTTCGACATTTTACGATATTGTGCAGCATAAACTTGCAATGAACTTACGAGTACTTTAAATTCATTCAAATATACCTCTAATAACATATACATTCTATACGTGCATTTTAGAAGAAAATTTCATAAAACCATTTCGATTTATTTTCCTTTACTGTTTTTCGTATCACGTTTATCGTGAACTTTAGACTTAACTAATAAATTTAATACCTTAAATGTTGTATCTAGACAATACATTAATGATTTTAATTATGTTTTGTCACCCGTTTGAATGTACATCCGGAGTTGTATTCGATCAAGTCCTAAACGAACAATCTTATAGAGATTTAATTTATTCCACATAGTCTATCAACGAATTATATGAAGTATATTATAATATATTTAGTTCAATCGTATTTTCAACTAAGGACATGAAATTATTATACATTACATTTGAACTAGGTTAACTCAAAATTGAAGGGACCGGGAAAAAAAGTTCGAGTTATCCAAGAATTCGAGTTATCGAAATAAAATTTTAAAATATGTATTTTTTTTAAACCGTACAATATAATATCCCTTATGTATTTATTATAATATGTAATAAAAATATTTTCTATTTATGTATTATTT